ATACAGTCAATTCAAAAAATGTTGTCGTCGACCAACTCAAGCCTACGCGACTGGACCGAAAGGAACTGTGGGTAGTAATCATTATAAACCGAGTTGACTCCATAATTTTATCTGACTAGTTATGCCTGGTTTACAGCACGAACCTTCGTTGGCGAGGAGGAAGGAGACGTTATTTTAATGCCTTCATATTTTCGGAATTGTGAACTAAATCATAACTACTTTGTTTTTCTTTCCCTAAACCCAAAGACATGCATTTTAGGGATTGTTTCTCGCCATTATTATCTTATTACTAGTGGGAACAATTAATTCATAACGAATATATTTAACCGCTTTAGTGATTTTTACCCATATTCCTTTCGGTGCAGTCGCGTATGCTTGAGCCGGTTGACGACAACGTTTTTTGAATTGACTGTATGAGTTTGAGGATGTTTGGGCTAATATTAGTAGGCTTTAAACAAATCAAAACTATTTATGTGTTTGATTGTAGGTTAGTTTAAAATTGAAAATTAAGTTGTATTTCAAATAAAAACATAACAATTCTGTCAACATATCTTCAAAAATTGGAAGCTTGGGTTTTACATTTTTGTTTATTTTTTAAGGAAAATACAATTATTTTTACTTTCATTTTCACCACAATCTACATTACTGCTATTGTGCAAGACTTCATATATTTTAATAGAATGATGTGATTGATATCAAAGAGTTAACAGGAATATTAATTACTTAACAAGAAGCTCTTCAAGGGTAATTGTTTTAACAACTTTATCATGAGATCCTATGCTTCATTAAGAATTTACATTAAGGAGTTTTAAAACATGATTATTATAGCTAAAAACTTAAAACACAATCATTTAGGAAAATAATTTTTTTCTGACTTAAGGAAACTTCAATATCTTGGTTTTATACGAATTAATAACATAATTTTAAAAAATTTTTAATTTATTTTTTTATACTTTTTAATTCATGCTATCAACATCCTACCAACACTGATTTGATGTATTGTTTATTTTTACCATCCTTAGGGCAAATCCTAGTATTGAACCTGTGACCACAGCCGTAAGAGGCATGAATTAGCTTAATTTGCAACAAATGCCCCATTATGTGCTAAAAAACTATTGGTATAAAAAGGCAATTAGTACAACTAATATATATATATATATATATAGTTTTAGAGCTAAAATATGTATAGATTAGAATACACTTTTTTGAATAACTTAGCCTATATGGGCCTAATTGGAAAGAATCTCACTGCTTAATTGGTTCACCCAATAAAGATTATTATATATATATATATATATATACATTATGCGCTAAAATTATTGCTAAAATCATTGGTATAAAAAGGCAATTAGTACTACTTATATATATTTAAAACACTCATTAATAATTCATAAGCTTATGATCCAATTGGAGCCACCATACACGTCACGTGCATGAACCTTTATACCCGATAAAGTCCTCTTCATTAGTATTCAAGTGATTTTATATAAAGACACATGTGATCGTTATATAAAGACCACTCGAATACTATGCGGATGACTTCATCAGGGATGAAGTATACATCCAAGTTTAGATGAAGACAGAGTTTCATCAAGGTCATAGTCAACCCTAATGATCTTTGACTAACGTGCCTGTCTTTCCCTTGGCATGCAATATCCGACGTGTGGGAGCTTCTATTGAATCTGGTTGCGCATGCCCGTGACGTCAAATCCCTATCGAAGTATAAAAATTCATGTTCGTGACGTGTATGGTGGCTCCAGTTGAACCAAAATCTTATAAATTGTTCA